ACGTACATGCCAACCCCTTAGGTGTTTGAAGCTTGCAGGGACAGAGCTGCCAGGAGAGTCAAGAGCCAGGAGGATGGCAGGAAGGGCCCCGAGGGGAGGTGGCATTGAGCTCCGGCGGAGAGCTGCTCTAAGCTGAGGGAATAAAAGCCACAGCAGTGAGTGAACCCGTGCACCAAACACCCAAGCCTTCCAGTTGGCCGCTGTCCCACTGACAACCAGATCTGCAGGCTGCAGCGGGTCGCTTGGCGGTTGTGGCCCAAATCGTGAGCCCGCTGGGACCGCCTGGGCTGGCTTCACTGGGCCCAGTGTGTGCACAGCTGCTGGGGCTGCACCATTCCCTGCAATGAAATATTCACGGTCATGGGCTGAGCCTTGCCCTGAGAGACAGTCTAGGGAAGAAAACAAGTCATCAGGCAGGACTAGCGTGTTAACAGTGCCAGATCTGGACGTGAATTCAATCTGATGGCAGCGGTACAGCCAGCCCTGACCACCTGGCAAACCTGTCCGGCAGCCACGGGCACATCCCTCGTCTCTGCACTTCAAGAGACACACCTGGGGCAAGGCACAGCCCTCCTGGGGTCACCGTCCTCCACTTTCATCCACATGGATGAACAGGTGCTTGCACGCCAGAGGGCTGACATGACGTTTTCACAGCACACTGAGTTTTGCCAAAAAGCATGCTTTTAGGTGGACAGCAGGGAACACCCCTGGAGAAGACAGCAGACGTGATCCAGTTGCGTAGCAGGCCCCTGCGTGCTTCCTTGAGAGGGACGCCCCCGGCACCCCCTGCCACCATCTCCCCAACAGCTGCATGAGCACTCCAGAGTGCTGCCCTCCCTTCCAGGCGTCCCACAGAGGCCCCACAACTCGGACTTTCTGGCAGTTATGGGTTGAATTATGTATCCCCAAAAGATGTGTTCAAGTGCTTACCCCCGTACCTGTGAATGTGAAAACCCCAAACCCACTGCCTTCGAGTCGACCCAACAGGACAGAGCAGAGTGCGTCCGCAGGGTTTCCGAGGCTGTGATCTCTACAGAAGCAGATGACACGTCATTCTCCCACGGAGCGGCGGGTGGGTTTGAGGGGCCGACCTTTCAGTTAGCATCCGAGCACTTCACCACTGCACCACGAGGGCTCCCTTTGTGAACCTTGTCTGGAAACAGAGTCTTTGAAGACGCTATCAGTTAACTTGAGGTGACACTGCAGTAGGGCGGGCCCTAATCCCGTCTGAGTGGTGTCCTTATGAAAGAGGAGGAGAGACAAGAGCAGGGACAGAAGAAGGACGCCCGTGGTGGAGCAGCTACAAGCCAAGGAAAGCTGGGGGCCACCAGAGAGGCAAGGAACAGACGTCTTGCTCAGAGTCTCAGAAGGAATCAACACGGCCGACACCCTGATCTCGGCCTCCCCGTCTCCAGGCCGTGAGACAGTAAATGTCTGTTCTGATCAGCCACCCACTCTGTGGCATTTTGTTCCGGCAGCCTGCAACCCTAGCACACGGCGCGGCCCACTCAGCCCCCTCCAGCTCAGTGCACTGCGGGCCCTCCCAGAGTACAGTGTCCCGGTCCACAGGCGCCGACTCCGGTCCTCCTGCTGGTGCCAGGATGCCGCCAGCTTCCCGCCAGGCCTGGTTGGCCGGCTCTGGGCTGCCCCCCCATCAGCCGTCCCTCCCTGGCAAAGGCTGCCTCACACATACGCGCCCGCAGAGCTGCTTTTCAGAAGTAATCTCCATGTAATGAGAACACAGGAAACCTCATTATTGCAAACACCGTTAATTAGGGGCTTGTGATCTGTCTGTCCGGGGCCAGCAGAAGTTGACATTTGCTTTCTCTGCAGACAGTGCAAAGTAACAACCAGGCCTAATCCCAGGGACTTTTGAAAGGCAGGAAGCAGCCCCCGGGCAGCGGCTGTCAGCTCTCAGCTCTGTCGACCTAGGGTGTGCCAGTTAACAACCTTTCCTTCCTTGCCCATGGAAAGGGCCCCAAAGGGCGTGTGCGTGCTGGGCTCCTGCGCACTTCACCTGATGAGTCCTGCAGCAGCCTCAAGAGGGCGCTATGGGGATCGCCCTATCTCTCAGTGGAGGAAACTGAGTCACAGCACCAGGATGCAGGGAGGCTGTCAGTCCCTGAGGCAGCAGATGGGAGGGGGTGCCACGGGCCAGGGTATTTGAGTCCTGGGGAGTGATTCCCCACCCACCTCGGGCACCGTTCAAAGAAGGGATCAGATTGAACTCCCAGGTTCGAAGCTCCCTTCCCTAAACCTGTGGCCACTGAGTCGATTCCGACTCCAAGCAACCCTAAGGGACAGAGTGGGACTGCCCCATAGGGTTTCCAAGGCTGTCAACTTTATGGGAGCAGACGGCCACAACTTTCTCCTGTGGAGCAGCGGGTGGGTGGAGCCACCGACCTTTCAATTAGCAGCCGAGCACTTTAACCACTGTGCCACCAGGGCTGCCCTGTCTGGGAGACCTGGAACCCCTTCTCCTTTGTAAATTAAAATCTATGGAGGTTAACGGGAGTCCCTGTGTGGTGCAGTGAACGCACTGGTCTGCTAACTGAAAGGTTGGAGGTTCAAAAGTGCCTCACAAGAAGGGCCTGGTGATCTAATTCTGAAAAATCAACCACTGAAAACCCTATGGAGCACAGTTGTACTCTGATGCCTCCATAACCGCGCTTGGGCTGATTTTCGGGTGGGGAGGTGGTAAACATCTTCTGGGACAAGCCATGCCGCTCCAGGACCCAGAGGAGTGGGGACCTGCTCCGGCTGTGTGCTCCCGGTGGTGGGGTCATCCCTCCCTGAATCTCTGTGCCTAGATCCACGGTGTCTTCAGGCCGCGAAGCGCCCAGGATGGCTGCGAGAGGGATGGGCAGGATGCTCCCCAGACAGGTTCCCCGGGGCATCTCTGCACCTGGGCTCTGGGGAACGCTGTCCCTGCCTTTCAGCATCTACTGAGGCCCCACGGCCGGGCTCAGGTCCCATCTCTGCCCCACGCTCCCTCAGACCCTCCAGAACACAGAGCTGTGAGTTACCCAGGCTTGGGGACCTCAAGCAAACTGTCATTTTCAAGGAATCCCCTTGGGCGGATCCCAAGGAAAGTCCCAGGTCACATGCCTGGGATTCTGGGAGTGTTCAAATCTGCATGTGCACGTGGGACCAGGCATGTACCACCAACACACACACGCACACACACACGCATACATGCACACACATGCCTCTGCACACGTGTGCACACACTCACACATGGGTACACACACATGCACGAACACAGGCCTGCCCCCTCCCTCAGGAGGCTCGGCGCCATCTCAGCCTCACACGAGTGGGGGGCCCCATCTTTCTTGGGTGACCTCTCCCTCTCTAGCTGTCCTCTAAACTGGAAAACTCCCGTTTCTGATCCCACTCCTCCCACCTCCCCCTACTCCCACGCCCCATCTCCTTTGCCTCCCCCCTCACCCCCACCCCACTGTCCTGCAGTACAGAAGAAGAGAGGAGAGAAAGAGGGAGGGGAGAGAGGGGGAGAAAAGAAGGGGAGGGGGGAGAGGAAGGAGGCAAGAAGGAGAAAGAGGGGGACAGGGGAGGGAAAAGGAATGGAGGAAGGAAGACGGAGGAGGGAGGGGAGGGGAGTGGAGGAGGGAAGGCAGTGGGGGCTATTGATGGAAAGCTGGCCCAGCCCGCGCCTGGAGAAGGCTGAGCACTGGGCAGCGTGCTCCCAAAGTCCCAAGGATGGAAGTACATCACCAGGACACAAGGATCCCAAGTCAAGCTTTCACCTGGTTTGATAGATCTGAGCTGACACCTTGGCCCCTGGGCCACTCTACATCCAAGGCCGACGCCCCTCCCCGGGCACTGCCTTCCAAGAGGAGGGGGCACTCAGTCCTCTGCAGCTTCCTTTTTTCTCATGTCAAGAATCCTTGCAGCCCGTGTTTGGTAAATAAAATTATTCTTCCCCAGAAAATCATTAGCAGGGCCCGACATCAATTCCCCTGCAATCTGTGAAATTAACCGCACCTAGCACGGAGGGCATGGTAGGATCTGTTTGCTAATCACCACTCCTCCGCTCCAGGCACCTAATTAAATCTCCTTCCTGTTTATCCACTTACCGGATCCTCCGCACAGATACTCACAAGGACAGGAGAGCCGCTGCCATCGATCACTCTTTGGTAACTTTCGGTGGGTGTAGCTCCCCTCTGCATAATTGCATTTCATTCTGGCTGCCAGGTCCCCCACCTTCCCCTACAGTCCCACCTCTCGTGGTGACTCCAGCTGAGCCGTGACCCCTGCAGGGGGAAGAAGGCCACAGGCTGCAGGGCCTGGGTGCAGAGAACAGCCCCTCTGGGGAGCCCAGGCTGGTGGCCTCCGGCTCAGCCACCGCCTCCTGCAGACCTGCCTTTCAGGTTTCCATCCCTTTGTCACTGTCACCGTTACAACCTGGGAAACTACGTCACCTCCTCGCCCACCCTGATTAAACTGGGGCTGGGTGTCACTTTACCTGACCTCGGTGATTCTGGCTGCCCAGGCCCCTAGCACAGGTGCCGCTGAGGGCGCAGGGACTGGTTTTACGCCATTGCTAGCTGGCCTCCGCCGTCCAGAGAGGCAGCTAAAGTCAGGAGCACTGTTCCATGTCCCAGCGATCAGACTTCTGTGTCCTGACACGCCTTAGCCCTTGTGACTGCGGGGAGGCATGTGACCTCCCATCCCATTGAACAGGACAGTTGTGCAAGGTAAGTAAGGTGCCCTGCCCAGCCCCTTCCCCATGCAGCTGCCCCTCACCCACCACCATGGAGATCCGTTTCTTGGTCAGCATGGATCCTGGTTGGATCCCCAGCTTGGGGGTCAGAGTTCTTACTCTATCTTGATTTGGGGGTCGGCATCATTAATCGCCGTGGCCCCTGCCACCCTCCACTCACGCGTCCTGCCCAGTCTGTCTCCAGCAATTTCCGCATGCTAATAACGCTCCCTTTAGCCCCACGCAGCAAATCGGTCACAACCAGCCCCCCTCTGGCCCATATCTCTTACCTTTAATTATGATCAAATGTGGACTATTGAGTAGGTTGATGCATTTTAGATGTCTACAGAGGTTTCTTTTTAATAATGCAATCTCAAGGCTCTCGCAGCATATAACTCGGGTAATTACGGAAATACGTATTCAGCGGTGTCCCCAACGTTAGCAGTTTCTCTCTGGAAAGGGGAGTTTGGGGGCAAAAATCAGAGGATTACAGATGACATGGTGACTGATCACAGGGACCGACTTGGACTGGACCAAGGAGGGATTTCCGGACCCTTGTGACACCTACAGGTCCCTGGGTGGTGCAGTGGTTAAGCACTCAGCTGCTAACCAAAAGCTTGGTGGTTCGCACCCACCCCATGGCTCTGTGGAAGAAAGACCTGGCAATCTGCTTCCGTGAAGATTACAGCCAAGGAAACCCTATGGGGCAGTTCTACTCTGTCACTTGGGGTCGCTATGTGTCGGAATTGCACCAGGTTTGGTTTGCGTGTGTGTGTGTGTGTGTGTGTGTGTGTGTGTGTGTGTGTGTGAGAGAGAGAGAGAGAGAGAGAGAGACCACCCACAGGGTATGACTACAGGGGAGTTCTATTTTTTTTTTATTTTTTCCCATACAAAAATTTATACATACATTGTTATGTGACTCTAATTGCTCTCCCCATACTGTGACAGCACACTCCTCCTTTCCACCCAATTTCCCATGTCCATTCAACCAGCTCCTAACCCTCTCTGCCTTCCCATCTCACCTCCAGACAGAAGCTACCCGTTTAGCCTCTTACATCTACTTGAGCTAAGAGGCACACTCCTCATGAGTATCACTTTACGTCCCAGAGTCCAGTCCAATCGCTGTCTGAAGAGCTGGCCTCGGAAATTGTTTTAGTTCTGGACTGATAGAGAATCCGGGGCCATGCTTTACAGGGGAGCTCTCTATGACCCTCACACCTCAATGTCAAGTGACCTGCACCCAGTGGTGCTCGGGAAAGACGAGGGATCTAGCCCTACGTCCACCTCCTTAATCTTCTTGAATAGAGTCCCTTAGGTTGAGTTTCTTTCTGGGGAAAAGCGTGTGGTGGAATAGAATCGTCAGAATTGTTGGAAAACCAAAAACCAAACCAAATCCATTGCCATCCAGTTGATTCCGACTCATCGCGACCCTAATGGACAGAGTAGAACTGCCTCATATGTTTCCAAGGAGCCCTTTTGGTTAGCAGCTATAGCTCTTAACCACTGTTGTTGCTGTTAGGTGCCGTTGAGTTGGTTCCGACTCACAGCAACCCTATGCACCATAGAAGGAAACACTGCCCCGTCCCGTGCCATGCTCACAATCATTGTTATGCTTGAGCCCATTGTTGCAGCCACTGTGTCAATCCATCTCTTTGAGGGTCTTCCTCTTTTTCACTGACCCTCATCCACTACGCCACCAGAATTATTGGAAGTGCCTGAGAAATCCTGTGGTCCCATGTTAGCATAGCCCTAGGGCTTTCACCAGAGCTTGGAGCCTGGAGCTGAGACGGGTCAGGTGGTTGGCGCTGGAGAGATGTCATGTGACACAGTGGAGAAGCTGCATGGCCAGACTCCTCCTGGGGCAGCACAGGGCCAGGCACACACAGGCCTCGCCACAGGCGTGGTGCCCTGAAGAGGGGCTGAGCCAGAGTTTGGGTGTTCAGTTAGGGATGGGCGCCTGTTGGGTGGGAGGAGCAGGACTGAGCAGAGGAAGAAGGGAATGGCAGTGCAGGTGCAACAAGGCCTCTGCTGACCCGGTGGGGGAGTGGCCTGTCTGGAGCGGGAATGGCAGACCTCCTCCGCCTCACTCAGCCCCTGGATGTGGGTCCCCTGGAAAGGGAGAGGCTGTGGCTGAGGAGGTTCTCTGCAGCTGAGGTGGAGCCCAAAGAGGCTGAGAGCCAGGGCTGTCTGCTGGCCGTGCTCCCCACAGCACACTAGCCCACCTGGGAGGGGGACCTGGGTGGAGCCTCTCCATGCTAACACAGTCCACCCCCTGCTCACTCAGATCCACATTGGACACAAGTTCCCCCAGGCTTCCGGTGGGCCTCTCTCCCTAAGGGAAACTTACAAGAAGGAGGTTGGCAAGACAGCCACAGCTGCCACCCCCACAGCTTGTCCTCAGAGTCTTCATCCTCTACTCTTCAACCTCCATGCCCCTCACCCTCAGCCACCCCCTCCACTAGTGATGTGGCCCAGACTCTGATTGCTGTGGGACCTGAGTCCTGGCCTCCTGGTCCTTCTCAGGCCAGGGTTGCTGCACGTGTCCACTTACAGCCATGTTTGAGCAAGGTAGGACCGAGAAGTGTCCTGGTGGGCCACCCGAGTTCCAAACGTCTTTCTCCCAGCCCCTATGGTGTGCCAGCAGCCCTGCCTCCCCCTCATGATCAGGATCAATTGTCCCCACCAAGACGCTGGTTCCACTTCCTGCGTACTGGTCCCCAGACACAAGAACTCAAAGTGCCCCAGTTCCAGCCATGCCCTTCAGTGGGGCTTGTATGTGTCTCCTGGTGACAGTGCACTCCCTTTGGGCCTGGGCTGCATGGACAGGAAACACAAAGGCCCCCAGTGGGACATGGAGAGGGATGAAAGTGGGGCCTCTCCTGATTCCACCCATTGGCCTCCCAGCCCGTTGTTCTTCCACCACACAGAGGTCTTTAAGTCAGTGAGTGTACTTGTCCTAGAGGATGACACCTGTCCCTGCAGAGTAGTGCCTTTGCTCTATCAGGCTGGCAGGACTGGGCAGTGAGGCATGTTGGGCAGTGTGGTGTGACATAACCAGTGAATCCCACGAACATGGGCTCCCCGCCTCCCCCGCTGTAAAGTGGGATCCAGGTCTGACATGGTGTTATGTGGGATTGGAGCATTGAACTAATGCCACCGGACCATATAGTAGTGCTGGCTGAGGACCTGCAGACAGGAAGGGCAAACCCACACCTGGAACATGTGTCCATTCCTGTGAGAACATACCGCAGTCCCTTCCAGGATGGAAGGGTTCCAGCGTGGTCAGCTTGCCACCAGGTAGTCAGTTGGTCTTCCCGAGGAGCAGTGTTGTTTCACGGGCTTAGCATTGGTCTCCCTTGCTAGCGGGTCGTGCATTTGGTGGCAACAGTGTCTGGATCAGCTTTGGTAAGTAGGAGTCCTTGCTGCTGGGTGCACGCATAGCCTTCATCTCCGCCACTGTGGCCACTTTATCCTTGTGTCCATGGTGCTAGCAAGAGGGTGACTGATAAGCAAAGGCTGAATGACATCAACTGGTTGAGTCATTTTGTCACTTGGTTTTCAGTGTCCCTCTGATGGTGTTAGCATGTGATACCAAGATCTTCACACTTGGTGCCACAGCCATATGTCCATCCACACCTCTATGCCAGATTCCTTTGTCCCCAATTAGATAAGTTTCTCAGAGCTACTGTAACAAACTACCGCAATCTGGGTGGATTAAAACAATGAAAATTTATTCTCTCACAGTTACGAAGGCCAGAAGTCTGAAATCAAGGTATCATCAGGGTTGGTTTATTCTGGAGGCTCTCTCCTAGCTCCTGGTTGCTGCCAACAATCCTTGGCTTGTAGACACATCACTACAAGCTTTTCCTCCATCTTCACATCACCTTTCTCTCTGTGTGTCTCTGTATCTCAAATCGCCCTCAGCCTTTCTCTTATAAGGACACCCGTCATTGGATTTAGGCTCACCCTAAATCCAGAATGAACTCATTTGGAGATCTTTAACATAATTACATCTTCAAAGACCCTTTTTCCAAATAAGATCACAGCCACAGGCTCCGAGAGTTAGGGCTTGAACATATCTTTCGGGAGGGAGGCACCACTATTCAACCCACTACACTGATCTTTCAAACATTTTTCTTTCAGGCCAATTGGCCAAGCCATTTTCCACTACCCATGAGCCCATTGATATTCTTACCTTGGCCACTTCTTTTCCTACACGAAGGGGATGACCTCTGTGCCGATTCCCAAAGCTCTGCCCATTGAGATGACTTTCCCTCACTACTGCCTTTCAGCCCCGCCCCCACCCCCGCCAAGGGAGGCTGTAGGTAGCTGCTGTCCACTTGCAGCTTCAGCCCTCATACAAAGCTGACCCATCCGTAAAATAAGCTTGGGCTTTCTCCTCCTCTTTCACACAGATACGGGTTCTCCCATTCAGTCTCGGCATGAACTGAAGGAGGGGCACTGGTGCAACAGTGGTGAGTGCCATGGGGTCCAGGATACCTGCTCATGCAGCTTGCTGTACCTCTGTTTCTATTCGTGTGTGATCCTGGTTCTACCACCTCCATCTAGTGAAGGATTGTTGCTAAGCACATCCCAACCTTATGGCTTGGTGGATCTGATCTCACCTAGCTCAGGATAGGATGTTCTGGCCATATGGTCACTTGGTATCCCATGGTCAGGAATGCTGTCTCTCCCAGATCCCAGTCTCAGGCCAGGAATTATTTTTCAAAAGGCACTTAATTCTCTGCTGCAGACAGCATGGCCTTGCTTCAGAACCCCAGGGGTCCTCATTGTGATTCTCCCACTGGGGCTTGCCATAAACTCCACATAGCATCTTTTCCCACCAGTGACACCTCCAACACCAGTGTCCAACAGATCATATGGCCTAAGCAGCAGGGCTGCTTGCATTATGGAACAATTTCCTGCTTAACACTGGCAGCTTTTTGCATCACCCCATGTATGGACTGGAGCAATGCCCTATGTATACAATATGCTGCCTCCAGAACCTAAAAATGCCCTACAGTCATTGTGCTCCCTTCTTCATGGTGTGAAGTATGAGATGCAATAATTTATTTTTTATTTGGAGGGAATATCCCAGCACACAACTTACCACTGGACTCCTAAAAATTTTACAAGTGAGGCAGGTCCTTGACTCTTCCTAGGGGTTTGTCCCACACTTTGGAGTGCATGTGTCTTACCAAGGCCTCCACCTTGCATGCCATCTCTTTCTCACCTGGCCTGGTCAACATAATGTCATTGATTTAATGATCAATTTGATGTTTTTAGGATGTCCAGATAATACTGAGATCTTCATGATATATTATGACAGAAGGCAGAAGAGTTAACATAACCCTAGGAAAAATGTAAATACACCCACTCCTTACTTATCAACATGGTTAGGCTCTAAAGACCAGGTCAGTATGCAAAAATAGTCATTATGTGAAAATGGAAGATAACTACATCAGATCACAAAATGGAGGATGACTATATCGTTATATAATTTTCAAGTTACATCATTACATAACTGTCAAACTACTGAGAATCATGGCTCAGCCAAGTTGACACATAACTTTAACCATCACAGCCAGTGTTACTCTAACCTTGCACCTCGGCGATCGTTACTGCCAGACATATGTTGTTAATGCACAAAATAGTCGGATGGTAGATTTTTTACTGTTGTCCGAAATGCAAAATGTCAGATAATGAGACAGTCAATAAGTGAGGAGTAACCCGTTGCCATCGAGTCGATTCTGACTCATAGTGACCCTAGTAGAATTACCCCATAGGATTTCCAAGGAGCGGCTGGCAGATTTGAACTGCCAACCTTTTGGTTAGCAGCCTGAAGCTCTTAACCACTGTGCCACCAGGGCTTCAAGTGAGGCGGAGGTGTATATATTGCTGTCTGCTCCATGTGAAAGTAAACTGTTTCTGGTCCTCCTTCTGACTGGAATAGAAAAGAATGCGTTCACCAAAGTAAAGGCCACCTCAGGCTGCGGTAACCTGCTTTAGCAAAGATGCTGTGGCTGGAGCTGATAGGCTCTACCACCTGGCTGAGCTTGCTGCGATCTGCAGTTATCCTCCATCTCCCCCTGGTTTCTGCAGGGACCAGGCCAGGGAATTGAGTGGAGATACTATGGGGACCACCACCCTGCATTCTTTAGATCTTTCTTTAAGTGTGATGTTTATTTGCACCATCCAACCAGTATGCGGAAACCCTGGTGGCATAGTGGTTAAGAACTACGTCTGCTAAGCAAACATTCAGCAGTCTGAATCCACCAGGCCCTCCTTGGAAACTCTGTGGGGCAGTCCTACTCTGTCTTATAGGGTCACTGTTAGTTGGAATCGACTTGACCGTAACTGGCTTTTTTTTTTTTTTAACCAGTATGCAATTTTGTTTTTTATTTATCATCTTGACCAGACAGTGGGGGTAGTTTAAAAGGCCTCCACATGGACTTCTCTACTATGATAGTGCTTACCCCACAAATCAAAGACCCTATGTAGGGGGGTGTCAACTGCCAAATTTGTCAATTCCAATATATATATTTGGGGACTAGGGAGGTGACCATGGGCATGGTAATAGAGCCAATGGACCTACTGTGAACTCCACATGTGCCCTATATGCCTCACTCCAACACAGGACTAGGATGATGTTTCTGGTCTCCCGGTAGCAATGGCCACCACAGCCTGTGTCCAGCAGTCCTCGGAATGTCTGGTATCCCCTTTCCCCAGGTGTCTTATTCATCCAGTGCTGCTATAACAGAAACACCACAAGTGGATGGCTTCAACGAAGAGAAATTTATTCTCTCACAGTCTAGTAGGCTAGAAGTCCAAATTCAGGGCATCAGCTCCAGGAGAAGGCTTTCTCTGTCAGCTCTGGAGGAAGAGCTTTGTCATCAATCTTCCCCTGGACTAGGAGCTTCTCCGTGCAGGAACCCCAGGTCCAAAGGATGCGCTCTGCTCCCGGCACTGCTGTCTTGGTGGTGTGAGGTCCCCAACTCTCTGCTTGCTTCCCTTTCCCTTTATCTCTTTTAAGATAAAAGATGGTGCAGCCCACACCCCAGGGAAACTCCCTTTACATTGGATCAGGAAGGTGACCTGAGCAAGGGTGTTACATCCCACCCTAATCCACTTTAACCACAGGCAGAGATCATGATTCACAACACATAGGAAAATCACAAAATGGAGGACAACCACACAATACTGGGAATCATGGCCTAACCAAGTTGACACATATTTTGGAGGGACACGATTCAGTCCATGACACCAGGTCGCACTGAGGAACTGTCCGTAGGTCCCTAATGCAACTTCTTTATATGCAACCACAAACGCCTTGGATGCTGCCTCTCAGTGGAAAGATAGAAACAAATTTGTAGTCCTCTGTAATCGACCACCGGTAGCACAGTCAGGGTCAACCTACCTGTCGGGGTCATTGATGATTCAAGAGGACCCCCAGCCTCAAGGCACAGGAAGCCCACCTGGTCTCAGGCTGAGCCTCGTTGGCTCTGGCTGCCCTGAAGCCTGAAGTCCTGGCTGAGGACACATGGCTCTCCTTCCTGGGGGCCCAGCATGACCATATGTGCCTCTGTGGGTCTGCGGGGCCGTTAGACTGTCCCAGCCTTCTCGTGTCAGTGGGTGGCTCTGTGCACATCTGAGCCTGAGCCAACCCCAGCACCCGGAGACAGTGACCTTGACTTGACCTTCAGCATCCCGAGGAGACTACGCATAAGTTTGGCCTTTCCCTTAATGCTCACATCAGCAACGAGCATGTTCCTCTGAGCATCGGCAGAGCAGCCAGCACTACCCGCCCTGGCCTGCGGCTCAACTCGCACAGGTTGGATAGTACATCAAGCAAGGTGCTAATGGCTGTAAACTAGGACCCTGATTGATGGCTCTTTCCTTGCAAAAAATCTGCCCGGGTCCCTGAAGAGCCCGTGGCTTCCTGACTGCAGAACCATTCATCGCCTGCTTAACAAGGGCTGGCACGCTGTCCCTCCTGCCCTGGTTGGGGCTGCACAGGAGCCCACTGCCAGCCTTGTCCCTGGCCCTGGTGGATGTCAGAGTGAGTCATCTCCATTCACCACATCCCCCTGCTTTTGACGGCCATTACAATCAGGCACCTGTCACCCAAAGCAGAGCCACAGGTAGGGGGCCTCCGGTGGCCATGGTCCCCTGTGGATTTGCTGACCTGGGAAGCCAGCCTCTTGATTGGACCATGTATCTCTTAAACATGGCCTCCACCCTGGCACCACCATGAGCCGTGAGCTGACAGTGTGGCTGTCTCCACAGCAGGAGAGGCCATGTCCTCTTTCCTTCAGGGTGTGACCCCCGCCAGGCTTGGGGCTCCAATGCCCACCAAGGAGGGAAGTCACTGTCTTCACGTTTCATCCGAGGCCCCAAAGACCAAGACCCGCTGCACCACGGTGTCCAAGGACCCATGTCCTGAAGCAGGCACTGAACCCCATGCAGGACGGCAGGGGGCTGGGGCAC